TGCGATCTCGGCTCACTGCAACCTCCACCTCCTGGATTCAAGCAATTCTCCTGCCTCAGCCTCCTGAGTAGCTGGGATTACAGGCATGCACCACGACGCCCAGTTAATTTTTTGTAGTTTTAGTAGAGGTGGGGTTTCTTCATGTTGGTCAGACTGGTCTTGAACTCCTGACCTCAGGTGATCCGCCCGCCTCAGCCTTCCAAAGTGCTGGGATTACAGGCGTGAGCCACCACGCCCAGCCAAGTTGAAGGTCTTAACAGAGTAAATGCCGACCTACCTGGAGGCAGAGGGAATTCTGCCAGCAGCTGGCCTTCAGACTCAAACTGCAATTCTTCTCTGGATCTCCAGCCTGCCTGCCTTGCCTCTCCTACAAATTTTGGATTTACCAAGCCTCTATAGGCCCATGAGCCAATTCTTTAAAATTGGCCTCTCTCTCTGTCTCTCTCTTACTCTGTATGTCCCTAAACAATTTCCATCACCCCACAGGCCCTCTCCTCACCTACACGAGCAGGGGAGAGCTCTTGCTGTCTCCCTTTCTCTGCAGAGAGGCCCATATTATTTAACACATCCAGCCCATGCTTGATCTCCTTGCAGAGAGGAGCGCTCTGTTGGATATCTTAAACCTTGAAGAAGCTATACTGGGCCTGATGGGCTTTCCTAGAATGGACCCAGATGTTTCCTCATGTAGAATATCAATTCCATTTTTCTTAGGAAGAGTAGTATATGGAAGATGCCAAGCAGCTGAGGTCTCACGTTTAGTAATGTGATTTTTGGAAAACTATCTCCAAAAAGGTAATATAAAAGAGAGAGAAGCATAGCTGGTATGCCTGTTATTTCCAAGCTGACCATCTGTTACAATCAAGGAGTGTGACCACACTGGCCTCTATTTGTAGCCATGGTCACTGTCACCACCTTCTCATCAATACTCTGCTCAGCCTCCCAGTCTCACCTCAATTCTACCTGCTCCCCCGACACCAAGTGTCATCATTCCTCGTCAAAAGGGGTCGCTTAAAAGTTGAAATCTCTACTTAATCTCTGTTCATTTTGGCATACAGTAAGCATTTAACAAACACTTGTTGACAATGACTAAAACATATGTACTCCTTGCCACACTCACTGACTGTGTTTGTCAGTTTATTCAACAAGTCTTTACTGTGCTAGGAAGTCCCAACCCTGCCAGAGCTCACACTCCACTAAAGACAGAGGACACTATGCTATATGTCTGGTACACAGTGGACTAAATGTTAATGTTAACGGCATCAGCCAGGAGTGAAGAAAACACAGGAACCCAGAAAAAAAGGGTTTAAATTTTCTGAATGAGAGTGGGAGCTGAAAGTCAGGCTTCCCAGAAGACAGTGCTGGGCTTGAAGGATGAGTAAGATGTCTGCATGGAGGTGAAGGCAGGGACCCATGGCAGAGGGAACAGTGTTGACTGTGGCTGAAAAGTCCATGCTACTTACTATATGTTCAGGGCAGGAAAGAGCTCAGGGAACAAGGGAGGAGTGAGGGAGGTAAGACAGAAAGAAAAGGATAGGAAGTGATCCTTATGGAATCCCCACTGAGTCCCCAGGAAATCGTGAATCACATCAAACCCACTCCACCCAGCAGACTACTGCAGGGGCCAGAAGTGGCAGGCGAGAGCAGCTATCGCTGCAAAAGGGAAATAAGATCTAGCCCTTGGTGTTGTTTACATAAAATGCTATCCAGGTGGTTCTCTCCACCTGGCCAGACCATATAACCCTGACCTCTGTGGCCAGCAGCTGAGTGACAGGTTCTGATTAAGTACTTGGAGATTAGATTAAATTCCTCTGACGGTTGTTCTGTGATAATAAGTGTTCAAACGCTCAACCTCTGAGCACCCTCTCTGTGTCCAACCCCTTTCACTCCAGGAACAGGTGTCTTCATCGGAGAAAATACCGTTTCCATTTTTGGTTAACCTTTCTTTGTACATGTGTATACTGGCTGCCAATGTGACTGTGGGTTTACAAGCTTTTGAGAGTTAGGATGTGGCTCTCCACCAACTAGGCCACCAACAGGGCATGGACATGACCAAAGAAGAGTTAACAATGTAAGACTTCAATCTTCTCCAGCTAGCAGTTCTTACGGCAAATCCTCCAATTCAGAAATGAGCAGATTGGCCTCGTTCTTTGAGCTAAGCAACCAGCTAGAGGTCTGATGTGTCCTCCATATTAGGTTTATAGGAAACTGTCACCATTACGCTCTAAAAATTGACCAGCGGAGATATGTAAAATATTTGCCAAAGTCTACCTCTAGCTCTTTGTTTTATCTCTAAGCCCTAGATCACAGAGATGGAAAAATTTTAAGGTTTACATCACATTAGTACTATGGCCTGCTATAAACTGAGACTGGCCAAGAGTACATGACAAAATGCAAGGCTCCATCTGTGTGATCATATTTTATGAGTCAAGATCACTGAGATGCTGTCATTAGTAATAGAATGTCATTACTTAACAGAAATGAGTAAGCCAAAAGAGAAGTAAAGTAATTCCCTGTAGTCACATAGAAACTGAGCACTAGGATGAAAATAATGTCAGGTTTTGAAGATTTATAACTAATATATATCCAAAGTATAAAGGCTGTAAAAGCACAGTGAAAAGTCAATCTTCCTGCCACCTCAGCCACCCAGTTCCTTTCCCCAGGATGAACCAGTTACCAGTTTCTTGTGTACTATTCTGGAGATATTCCATGCATAAGACATGTGTGTGTGTCCTTGCATGTGTACACATATATACCTACATATACGCACACATTTAAACCTATGCATTTTTAATACAATTGGTAGCATGTCATACCCATAATTCTATTTTTTTTCCTTTTTTCACAATTCCAAACTTTGACGTTTTTAAGTAAGCAACATATCTTGAAGACGGCTTTAAATCAGTTCATAGAGAACTAACTCATTCTTCTTAACGGTTGTGCAGTATTCCATTATTCATACCATATTGTAATTTATTTAAAAGTCTCCTCTTGCTGTTTCTGATCCTTTGGTTCTATAACAAATTCTTTGCTATGTAACCTTACATCGAAATCATTTCATACCTGTATGGGTCTACCTTTAGGATTAATTCTTAGAAGCGAATTTGAAGGAAATTTGGGGGTCAAAAGGCATATGAATTTTCAAATTTAATAAGGATTTCCACATTTTTCTCCATAGGAATTCTCCCTCTATCATATGCTAAACTTGCAAACACATCTGGGTCTGTATATGAGTTTCTATTCTGATCCATTTGGGCACTTATTTGAACATGTGTTTTACCTATTATAAGCACAGTTTTACCTGTTATAGCTTTATCATGTCTTTTCATAAGTAGAAAGCCACTCCTCCTCTGCTATCATTCATCTTTTCCAGAATTTTTTTCTATTCTTGTTTTTTAAATTTTCACATATTTACTTAAAAATAATAATAGCATACATGTATGTGGTGCATACTCTGTGCCAAGCACCAGGCTCGGCATTTTAAAAGTATCAGTTTATCTAATTATGTCAATAATTCTGAAGTACACAGTACTGCTATTTCTGTTTTTCAGAAGAGTAAACAGTAAATTAACGCTCAGAGAGGTTATGGAACTTGCCCAAGATTGCACAGGCAGCGACTGGTGCAGCTACAATGCGTAGCAAGGGTCTTCTCTCTGAGCCACTTTGCAATGCTGCCATTTGCAGGCTAGGGTTTCTTTTGTTGTTTTTTAACTTTTTGAGTGGGATGCTTAATTCATTTGACTTTCATGATTTGTCATCTGTTAACGTAAATAACTAAACCTTTGAATTTTCCTCTGAGCACTGCTTTAGCTATATCCCATGGGTTTTGAATACTGTAGCTTATTGTGGTGCCTCTTCTGCTGTTAGAAATCTGTACTGTCATGTTAAATTTATAGATTAACAAAGGGAGAATTAACATTTTTATGACATTGAGCTTTCCTATCCAAGAATATGCCATGCCTTTCCATTTGTTTAAGATTTTTTTCAGAGGAAACATAAGTATCTTATTTTCTTAATTGTTATTTTAAAAGATTTTTTCCTCCACTATGACTTCTAACCAGCTGTTCTTGGAATATATGAAAATCACAGATACATCTGTATGTTTTATTTAACTTTGACTTTCTAGCTGAATTCTCTTATTATTTCTAATAGTTCTCAGTTTATTTTCTTGGGTTTCCCATGTTAAATATGAACACAAGCAATATATTTTTTTTACCTGCTCTTTTTCTTGCCCATACTTCATTTTTTCACATTTATTGTCTCCTTTTTTTTTTTTTTTTTTTTTTGAGGCAGTCTAGCTCTGTAGCCCAGGCTACAGTATGGTGGCACAATCTTGGCTCACTGCAACTTCTGCCTCCTGGGTTCAAGCAATTCTCCTGCTTCAGCCTTCCAAGTAGCTGGGACTATAGGCATGTACCACCATACCTGGCTAATTTTTGTATTTTTAGTAGAGGTAGGGATTCGCCATGTTGGCCAGGCTGGTCTTGAACTCCTGGGCTCAAGTGATCTGCCCATCTCAGCCTCCCAAAGTGCTAGGATTAACAGACGTGAGCCACCTCGCCCGGCTTCTTTCCTGACTTTTAATGAGGCTTGAAAGTTGGGGATATTAAAATACTATCCACATTGAGGGCTTATAGAACTACAGAAGTTAGAAATTTAATAAAACAAACTAGGTAATTATAAATTTATGTTCTTTGTAATTTGTTTTATGGGGGTGCTTTTTTACTGAAATTTTCTTTGAAGTCAGATTTGGGAGCATAGCAGCTCTACCTCTCCCTGATATCCAGTTTAAATACTTCCTCATTTAATAATTTAAACATCTTTAATTTCTGTTATAAAAGTAATACATGTTCCTTAAAGAGAATCTAGAATATAGAGAGAAACGGAAAAAATAAAATGTTTCTTAAAATGAGTTCACAGCCCGGGGCTCGGGGCAGTGATCCACCGGAGCCTACTGTGTGCACTGCCTCCCCACCCACATCCCCAGAAGCCGCAATACCTACCTGGGTCCCCTGAGCTGTTGCTGTTCCTCTCACTCTCTCCATCTTCCTGACCATCTGCATTCTGCTGCGTGTGCTGCAGGCTCAGCTTGTGGCAGACCTCAAAGGCCTGCCCTACCGTCCGAACAATTCTCATAGCTTGGCTCTGGGAAGGAGAAAGGAGAAGAACAGGGTGGGTGAGGATGTGCAAGGGGCATGTGGACAGAAACTCATGCAGCAGCAAAGGAAAGAGACAGAAAAATCTAAAGTTGCTCAGATATGCACATACAAACGAGTGCAAAGACATTTTCCCTTCCTGAAATACTCCAGAAAACAGAAACTGTCACCACAGTTCTGAAATAATCAGTCAACTGAAAGGACAGATAGCAAATATGCCAATTATGGACTTAGCCCCAATTCTTCCCTCCCATGGGTAACACAAGTAGTCAATATGCTTCAGAATCTTTTGCCAACCATGATCAAATGTTCAATGGGTCCATCAAACTAAGAGGAACTCGGCTATCATTTTTTTCTTTTTTGAATGCTGCTGCAAATGTTGAGTTTTCCTGGACCTCCTACAGAGCAAGGGCAGTGGTAACATGAGGCTTGGAAGCCATGGCCTAAACAGCAGAAACCAATGAAAGCTCAGCACCCAGCTCCTCTGGAACACTACTAGTTGGCAGCCAACTAAATCTAAGGTAAGCCTTGCCCAGACTTACTCCAAAGACCTCATGTGCTTGTGTCTGTCCTGTGGCTCCTTCCTTTCTTTTCTTTTGGTATTTAATCTCTTGTTTTAAGAACCCAAGAAGGGAACTTGACCCTAGTTCCCAGTATTCCACCGTTTAACTAGGAGAGGAGAGACAGGACAAAGAAGCCTTATGTAGAGTCTTAGGCCACCCATGCAGACTGTGAGGAAGAGCCACATGCAGGGGTTCCAGGGCATGGCCTCAAAGGTGGATAACTGATTATGGTTTGATGATGTCAGCTTTTTCTTTCTTTCAAGGACAGAAATGAGTGATATGGTTTATTTAGAGTTTCAGAGCTCAGGCTGGGAAGGGCTCAGCACACTGCTTCTCTTACTTCAGTGGACCTCAAGCATCCCACCACCACGGGCTACAATTTAATCTAATTGTGATTGTCACCCTATACTCAAGTCTAACATTAATCATGTTTTGGATGATCTCACTTCAGGTCAGCCATGGCCACCTGTTGACATCATATAGTCCATCAATCACATCCAACCCCCCCAGGTAATGGCAGCAATCAAGTAGGGCTTTTCATCAGCATGTGGTAGCTGGTATTACATTACGTAACTCATATCCAGTGTTTTGATAAGCCTAGGAGGCCTTGTTGAAGGTAGTTAAAAAAAAATCAGCTAATTGTAATATGAAATGCATAAATGAAGCTCATATTACAATGAGTTCATCTTTCTCATTACTATCTTCATGAACTCCTAGGGACCTTGGAACCCTGTGTATGGAACAACTGCTGTAGTCCATTCTTTGCTGGGTATAACTTCTAAAATTGCTTTTCCTCAAGCCTGGAGTCATTTCTACGTTCCTTCTGTTTATTTCAGGCCAGAGCATCCATATAAATGTGAAAAGGCATCTTGACTGATTATCATCTACATGTCAATTTGAGATCTCAAGTCAACTCTACTGCTCCTTATATTCTTCAGTTCAAATCTCCTCCTAGAAGTAACTGTTTCACAGCTCTAACCTTTCTTAGCCATTATACTAACTCCAGGGATATTCTCCATTGGTCTCTCACCTGGAGCATGCTGACACTTCTGGGAGATAAGAACCTTAAGCGAAGCATGAGGAGATGGGTAACTTCTGTGGGGTCCACCATCACCCAGTGGTGAATCAGAACCTTTGTTTTCTATGTCTACCCTTAATTTCCTCCTGTGTCCACAAGACAGGCTTAGGCCCCTTCTCATACTGTAGGCCTACAGTGTGTAAGAGATGACTCTTCTATCTGCACAGGAAGTTGAGAAGCAGTAGGCATCAGTCCTAAGCAAGAAGCCCCTACACTTCCCACTCCCAAAGCACACAAAAAGGTGTGATTTAGAAGACACAGTCCCTAACAAATGTGGGCTAGGAAGCTAATAAATGTAGCATTCTACATTTCCGTTAGCCATCAAGCTGTGCTATGCTTAGGAGGCTGTGCCAGGAAGCTTAACTCTCAGGTGAAAAGGGAGAAGAAAAGGCTTCTACGTCCAAAAGTGTTATTCCCCTAGGCTTTGAGACCTTTTGGTTCCTATTCCTTTTATGAGAGTAAGAGCAGACTGCCTATGGTTAATAATCTCCAGCAAAGCTCATTACTAGTTTACTAAACCTTAGGTATGACCTTATTCTGCCTACCACGTATACCCAGTGTCCACTATACAGAAACTTTCCTCTACTTTCTTCTCTGACTTTTGGGAATTTTGCTCCCCCAGGTATCTTTACAAGAGGTAAAAAAGGTAAATGTTTTAGGTTGTAACAATAAAATAATGTAAGTCTAAATGATATGTAGAGATTAAGTGTTTAATTCCATACTTTCTTCTCTTACATGAATTAACCCAGATATCTCATACTGAATAAATATCTGTTAAGACTGAGTTAGTCTTTTCCCATCGGTATCATTTCCAGGGTACAGACCCAGCTTCCCCCTTTAAAATACAGTTATGTAGGAAATTCCAAATTCACTACTGAGTTTGTTCCTATAACATCTCAGGTTTTCCTAAGGAGGACGTGTTATAAATTCCATCATCTCTGTAAATCACAGATATTTCCTTTAACCAGCTTTTAAGATGATATTAAAAATTTAAAGATCCTCAAACAAATGTCCCTGATCTATGGGATTAGACAGGGGTAGGAATCCAATTTCTAAATTTATCTTTGGAAGGAATCCCTCAGATTGAAATAAGAGGATAAAGGTGGTGGGAGAATGACTTCACAGAGGACCTGTATTTCTCAGGCATCACAAGATGACAATGGATGATGGGATATGCCCAGAACTGAGCATCTTAAGGATGCAGACTCCAGCTCAAATCTTTATTCTGCCACCTTTATCAAGCACAAACATGTGGAACATACTCACATGTTCAACCATCTATAAGCCCAAAGTGGCTATAAGGAAGTGGGCTGGTTTTAATGCTTAATATTGATAACACTTCATTTTTACATTTTACTAGTATTTTTACCTAGCATTAGCAGCTGACCCTAATCTCTACCTGATTCCCCTGAAAAAGTAGAAAATGCAGACTTTAGGTTTACTGGTCCTGCCTTCCCCATTCTGGAAAGGGCATCCCATCCTTCAGCCTCCCATTTCCTTCCTATCCTCCCTCCATCAGTTGTTCTCTATAGTATTTCTGTAATTGCACTGAAAAACTGAACATATGATAGCACCTACCACAGTGCCTGGCACACAGTAAATGCTCAAGAAATGTTTTATCCTGACTATGGAATTCACTGCGCCAAGAGGCAATTAAGACAGAAAAGAAAAAGCAGTGCAGGAAAGGTGGAACTATTTTTATCATAATAGAAACATGAAGTGACTAAGGGAATCACCTCTTATGTATGCATGCTAACATCCAAAAGGCTGTGCAGCAGATAGCATAGCCTCCACCATAGCATCAGACGTAAATTCCTGAGCCAAATGGATCTTTGGTCTGAAGTAGTATGATAGTTTCTATATGTGAGGAAATTGTTGCATTAAGAGTTCTAGATCTGCACACTGAATGGTAAACAGTTTAATAATTAAATTAATAAATTAAATAAAATGGTTTAATTTATCCTTTATTTTACTCCTTTAATGTGCAAGTTACAATCCTATTCACAGTAAAAGGACACAGTAGCATGTTTTATAAAGAGTCCTCTGCACTGGAACACATAATCAAGCTACTTTAACTGTTTTACAGAATGACTACATACATACACATAAAAGAATTGCCCTTCCTATCTACCACTCCAGGAGTCAGAAGGGGCTAAACAGCTCCTCACTGTACTCATAAACGGCTATGTGAGTTCTGATGTCCCTGACCTTTTAGGCTCTCCTTGCTTCACCATTAAAAAGTCTACTTTTAGAGGATTCTATATGGAGACCTCGTTAGGGAGGTGATTACTTAAAGGTGGTCAGTAGAGGCAGCCTGTGCCTGGCAGGGGCTGTGTCTTCACCATCTGCTCTCTGCACAACCATGCTGGCTCCTGCCTGCTAGGCCCACCCCACTTAGTTACCCCACTTTCTGGCCTGCTGGGCAAGAAAACTGGTTTTGCCTTCAACCCCGAAATGCAAGAATCATACACGCTGGGATTTTATTGTTAATTAGCCATGTCTTCACCCAAGAGGGAGAACTCTGGTAAACAGCAGCTTTAAAAAGAATCCCTTCCAGAAGTTTTTATGAATGCTTGTCTGTGGGTCTTCTAGATCACAGTGAAGCAGTTGCTCCCACCTCATGACGACATACAGGCCTTTGGAGACTAAGGCGGAGGTTTAAAGATTGAAGGCAGTGAGGTACAAAGAGTAAACAAGTGGAACATTGAGAAGGCAGCCTTTTTGAGTTCCAAAATCTGGCGATTCTCTGGAATTTACTAGATTTTTTTTTTAAAGCATCATTATACTGCATTATTTCTGTATAAATCCAGTTTAGTTTTACATAAGCCCCTAAAAGTGCTTTGCCACACAGATCAAATCTTCTCGTCCAAAAGCCATTTTCTATTAGTAGCCCCAGAGCATTTGAGGGCTCTTCATTGTCAAGATTAGGCTGGATATTGTTGCTTTGATGTTTTCAAAGCTGGAAAGGGATGTCTAACCTCAGAGTGGCTCTTAGCTCCAGATGGAGAGCACTGAAGCTCATGGGAGTGTCAATTACAGGCAATTTTGTTAAAATACAGGGGGAAAGGAAGCTTAGAACTGTATACACTTACCTTATACGCACAGCAATGTTTCTTCAAACCACCCATCTTTTCACGCTGACACAGCTCCTTCTCCCACAACCCTAGGACATCCCTCAAACCAGAACCAAAGTTAAGTCCAAATGCAATGAACAGCTGTTCTCCTCAGTACACCTAATGTGAGTATCAACTTCATACCTAGCAGGAGTCAACATTTGATGAACTGTAGCAATGGTCATGAAAGTAACACTATATTTGTAATCACTGTGGGTTGTACACCCAAAAGCAA